GTGTGGGTGGCATGTGGCTTATTAATACGGGAAAGTAGAGAAGTGGAAGGATGGGGGTAGAAAAGTTCTAGTCGCCGTGGGGCCGTTTTGAGCAAACTGCACACATATTGAGAATTTCAAAAAATCGTTTGGGCTGCTCTGCAGCCAGAAGAAATACTAATCATCGGGAAAGTAATGGTAATAGCTCACTTACGTAAAACAAAAGGCATTACGGGCCTAAAAGGTCCTGTGAAGAAAACAGGGGGCTTGAACAGCGGCCCAATCAGCGAAGGGTATTAGACGGCAGGGACCGCACCAATCGTGCATGCAATAGGAAAATGCAGGGGTGGGATGGTAGTCGCCCAAGGTCCGTGGTGATAATGAAAGAAAGAAAATAGAAGGGTCGGATTGTTGTGACGCATATTTTTTTTAAAAAAATCAGGGTGGAATTTAAAGGAAGTCATGTAAAGAGCAGTGTGTAAAAAAGCCTGCCTGTGTTTCATCCCCAATCTGTGAACACAAATAGCAAGAGACGTGATTAGGGGCGGGAATCATCAGTACAGCCCCCTAACCACCATGTTTGAATGAACATAGCGTAGGCGCATGATGAGATAGGATAAAAAAAAAATGCAAAAAAAAGAGGGAAAAAAAGAACACTGTCCCTTACTGTGATTAATCGACTATGGCTTCAGTGAGTTCTGAGTTATAAAGCATTGCCAGCAATAAGGCACTGGAATGGTAAGGATGTGTTCCATCAGGCTGCTGTTGTAATGGGTACTGTCTCAAATAGTGTTTCTGTGTTATTAAGTATGCATGCCTATTTTGTAGCCAGTGGAAGCAGTAATGATGTTCGTTGTTCGATACAAGAAAGATGAGCAGCCGTCGTTACGCGCACATCACGATGCCTCAACTTACACAGTGGATATTCCGCTGAATCAGCGAGGCAAGGATTTTGAGGGTGGCGGTGTACGATATGTTCGCTATAACTGTACAGTACCTGCAGATCAGATTGGTAATTTTGCTCACATGCTCGTTCCACGGTTTTTCCCTTTCACTTGGCTTTATCACTTTTTGTCCTTTATTGCCTTTTTTCCGATCGCGAATTAATAGTGGCATATAAAAAAAAAAAATACGAACACTCCCCACTCGATTCCTAAGCTACTGTCTTAAGAGGAAGAGGTCCTGATGCAAATTCCGTGCTACTTCTAAATGCCTTTACCTCATGCAGAAGATGCATTTCCAAGGAATTTTGATCCTCGACTTTCTTTAGCTGCATTTTTCTGGGTATGCACTGTACTTTTTGCAGGTTACGCGGCAATGTTTCCCGGGCGACTGACGCATCTTCATGAGGGTCTTCCAGTAACCAGTGGAATTCGTTATATTGCTGTATCATTTCTCAATCCGTAAAATTTTTTTTCTCGAAATATCAACTATTGCCTTCTGCATGCCAGGAAGTCAGAACTGCCTTCACCGTACTACGTATCAGCTCCTGTAACTTATTCAGTTATTGGAATTTCCTATTTTCATTGTGCATTTTTTTTTGTAATAATTCAAATGATTTTTGATGCACGAAGCTTTATTTATTTGTGAAATTTGTATTTTTGAATTTGAAAATGTTTTTAACAAGAATACTAAGACCACCCGGGTAGCTAATCTGGGGATCACAAATTTTTGATGTTATTAACGTAGATTCAATATTTTTATATTTTTATAACATAATTCAAAAAAACCTTCACTGTCTTATTTGAGCTGGAATTTAGTTTATCATATATTTATGTTTCAGGTGTGTTTTTTTGCTTCTCACCATACATTTTTGTTTTGAAAATTTTTGCAGTAGATCAGAAATCGCTTTCAAAAAGTAATTGTCCTTGAAATTTAGCCGAGGAAGTCCTTAGTGTTTTTTTTTTTTGTAATACTTTTAGTGGTTCGGGGGGCGTAACAAGCTGATCTGATGCGCCTGTGATGGTCTTTGTATACTTGCAGTAGCTGTAAATTTATAGTTTACTTCGTCTGTGTGCAGCTTTTCCACTTCTTTTCATCAGTGATACATCGTCTGACGTCTAACTGTTAGCTATCCAGACGTTCGTTCATCTTCAAAAAAGTATTGCCAATACAGTTCAGCTAACAAAACTGCTTGGTGAGGCTTTGTCTTTTCGAGAATTCCATACTCTTCTCCGGAATGTTGCCACTCCTAAACTGCAGTCAGACCCTATCTTATCGGTCAGAATTTTTCGTAATATGAATATTTTCCAACGGAAAATGGAACAACATATTCCAGAACAAAAAAGTGTATGACAAAATGCTTGGAGCTTTATTTCTGCAAAGAATTGACCCGTTTTTTGTTAAATTTAGAAGAGACATTGACTGCCAGCTCTCGCACTTTGTTATAATTTTTAGTTCTAATAACCACTGCCTGTGCTGTTTATCATTTCCTCGATTGTCACACTTTATGGGCCCATTTGAGCTTTACTTATTCTATTGG